ATATATATATATATATATATATATATATATATGCTCAACTTATTACTTAAGTTAATTTTATATGCACAACTTATTTAGATTTTAAAAATATATAATTTGAATGGATCACGTGAAAGATTTAAAATGTTTTTTTAATTACATTCATAAGTATTACTTTATTTATTATTCATATATTTCTTCGTCATCACAAATCATTTATAAGAGGAATAGTTAAAGAAGGACAAAAGTAATATCTAAAAGAACTGAGGGTACAAAATAATATTTTTGGTCAAACTTAAATGACTTTTAAATAAAAAAATAAAAAATAGGCAGAGTAATATTTTTTATTTTTGACTTATATTAAATTGTTTTTAAATTTGTCAAATACTTTTATTTGATTAACTTTTAAGTCAGTTCAAACATACTTTAATCACAGATTTAGAGGGGGCAAGTGCCCCGTTACCCTTTGAATTATGCAACTTCCATTTTTAATTGAATTTAGACTTTTTATCTACCAAATAAATGATGTTATAATTATTACATTTTTTAATTTTAACTTTAAATAAAGAAAACTAAACAGATTTATAAACTAATGTTAACCGATAACAACAAAATAAATAGAAAAACATTACTCTAAAAATAAAAATCTATTTTAAAAGGTTAAAAACCATTTCCCCCCTTCAATGGGTCCAAGATGCTAATATTTAAGAGAGAAATCTATCGCGTCCGTTTTCTCTCTCGTGAATGTCGTGATCACAGCCCTCCCACCAAAGCTCAATCCACCATTCCTAATTTCATTCTTCCTCCCTAGCTTCGGAGTAGTACATTTTTGCTAATATACAATCAATCGATCAAGATTCAAGATTGTTCCCAGTTCAGATGCTTGATGATGACTGTCGTCGGAAACAATGCGTTGATTTGTCGTCCTCAGTCGGAATCTTGCTGTGCGTCGATGAAGTTAGGGGTTTTGAAGCTGCCGGCGTGTAATTGCAAAGCTAAATCACTGGGCTTCCACATTACCGGTACCGAGGTAAAAACCACCTTTTTACCGCCTGTAAGGAAAACGGAAACTTCTAGAACCGTTCATATCAACGGAAAATCCGCAAGTTCTCATCAGCCAGGATACAATTCAAACGATGAAATCAGCGCAATCGATTTTTCTGGCTTTTCTGGTATTGATATTCTATCTTCTTTTAAAATTTTACTTTATATACATATTTTCCTCCGTTTTCTTGAGGCACATTATGTCTGTAACTGCTAATCTATTATGGAATATGCGTGATGTTACTGTTTTGGACTCAAAAGTATATATAGTTTAGAAATTTTGACTATGTATATTTAACTCTGAATCCTCCATTATCATAAAAAAAGTAGTTGGTGCAATTAGCAATCACGCCAGCCGGCTTTAAAATCTTGAATCTCTCTTTCTACGGAAGCACTGCAAAATTCTAATTTCTGACTCATATGCTATTTCCTCTTGTATCCTGTGGAGGTATTAGAATGAAAAAGTAGGTGGTGCAATTAGCAATCACGCCAGCCGTCATTAAAATCTTGAATCTCTCTTTGTTCGGAAGCACTGTGAAATTCTGGTTCCTGACTCATATGCTATTTCCTGTTGTATCCTGTGGAAGTATTAGAAATTCTTTACCTCTGATTTTATCTGGATTGTTTGGACATATCTTTTGTTGTGAACTCAATGAGACATCTGCTAGTTTAATTGAGACATCTGCTAATATGAATGATAAGGAGGATGCAACTAGTGATTGTCGCATTGATAAGCCACGTCGGAGTACTAGAAGTGTCACCTAATAGGTTGACAGTTACTTTTGGACAGGAAGAGAGTCACGTGAGCAAGGCTACGGTTAGTTTTGAAAGTTGTATAAAAGTGTGAGAGCGTAGGAAAAGGGTAGGCAATTAATTATGATTCTGAATATTCTCACCCTCTTCTTCTGTCTTCTCAACCCAATTCTAGGCTTCTAGTTTCAGATTTCAAGTATATTTCCTTGTATCAGTGTTCCTTACAGTTCCTTTGTTTGTGTCCTATTGTATTGTAATTGTTTTCCTTAAAAC